TTCATATGTAGTGTGTTTAGGTATTAGAAGATAAGATTGCTAACAATTGAGAAGGAGAATTGAGCGGGATAATTTTATTGCTCATATGTAGTGTTTTTAGGTATTATTACATAGTAGAAGATAAGCTTGCTAACCATTGAGAGGAATAACTTTCTCCCTCATATGTAGTTCTGAGTATAAGATAAGAAGACTAAACAATTGAGCAAGATAACTTTCTCTCTCATATGTAGTATTTTTAGGCATAAGAAGCTAAGAAGATAAACTTGCTAGCAATTGAGTGAGAGAACTGTCACTCTTACGGGTAGTTCTTAAGTACTCCGTATATAAGATAATCCAACTAACCGTTGAGCGTGAAAATTTACCCTTCCATATGTAGTGCTTTTAGGTATAACATAAGTCGACTAATAATTGAACGAGAAAAGTTTCTCTCTCATATGTAGTCTAATTAGATATGACAAGATAAACTTGCTTGCTAATAATTAAGTGAAAATTTTCTCTCTCATATATAGTGCTTTTAGTTATAAGAAGATAAAGTTGCTAACAATTGAGCGAGGATATCATCATATATGTAGTTCTTTGTAGTATTAGATAAGTCGGCTAACAATTAAAGAACATATTTGTTTCTCTCACACATAGTGCTTTTAGGTATAAGGTAAGATAATAAGGCTAACAATTGAGTGAAAGATTTTTTTCTCATATGTAATTGTTTTAGGTATAACAAGATAAGCCAACTAAGAATTGAGCAGAATAATTTTCTCTCACATATGTTAGCATGAATCTACTAATGAATGGAGTTATTATTTAACTAATATTCATTGATTTTAATATATATTGTACTCACTTTTTTAGAATTATTATTTAATTTTAAAATTAATCTAATCATGGAAATGAATAAGCAGCAAATTCTAATGAGTAGTGTCAATTAATTTTTCCTAATATACTCTTCATTGAATATATATTTTAAGGTATTAGCTGATTGAATTACAATTTTTTTCGAAAATGTAGAATCCTAAAAAGTTGTTTCTATTTTAATATTTAATTAGATCATGAGTAAAAAATATATGCATCAACCGCTCTATCCCGTGCGTATGCACGGGTACTATACTAAGTTTCAAAGAGGAAAACAAACCAAAGTGAACACATGTGATAGAGCAAGACCGGTGGTAGGGATTAATTTTACATGTAATTCAATCATCTTTGAAGAGACGTGTAACAATCAGAGAAAAGCTAATGAGTTCCATTCCAGAGTAGTAGAAGTCTGTAGAATTTGGATTATAGATGCACCTTCAGTACTACCAATCGTATACTCGTATGGATTTTAGACTTGACATTTTAAACTTTTATATGAATTTCCTTTGGTTTTGCAATTCACAGCGATATCAATAATTTTATCTTTAGCCTAAAGCTAGTAGTAAAGGACAATCCAAATCGACTAATCAGACCAATTTCAGCCGGTGCCGATATCTCACCAAATTTAGCTTTTCTGGTTATTTGTGTTGGAAAATTAGTAGTATTTCAAATGAATACTTAATAACATTTTCATTTATTTTATTCATATTCTATCATTTATTTAATCAAATAAATTGTCCTCAAATCTCTAAACTTTTACAACATGTTAAAGTCAATATAATGAAAGATTACAATCTGTTCAAACGTTTTTGTAATTTCTTAAACATGTTTAACAAGCTTAATTATTTGAGACGTTGCTAGCTATTATTACTATATTAATAATAGCATTATCTCTACAATCTTATAAAGGTGAATGAAGGTAAGGGCAGTTTGGGTATGAAAAATGTGTTGGTAGTAATCATAAGCTAATGTGGACTTGTACTTTAAGCTTAAATTATTGTACCTTATCTTCTCAAACATTTTAATACCGGACGGACCGTCAAATCCCGTCAGTGGAATCGTCAAATAGTACGGCGCATCGAAAAGTTATTTGGCATAGTTGTTGTTCAATTAATACGTAGTATCAAATACTCTGGCTTTTTATTTTCCTTGCTCTCATGTTAGTTAGTGGGAGTGAGATTTAATTGGATCTTAGTTCACAATTATTTAGACTGCTACTACCTACTAGGCTACTACATATATTTTTTTCTCCCAACCTTTAATTTAACAAGCTAAGGTCTCAGCCCTGTTCACAATTACGGAGTATATCTTAGTTTTTTTTTCTTTTTTGCTTTAACAAATACTATGTATACCAAGTAATTAATAAGCTATTACAGAGTATGCTTTATGAGTATGGATGTCTTTTTCCTTTCTTTCTCAAGCAAAAAATAGAAATAGTAGAACCGTCAACACTATTTTTTAATAAACTTAGACCCCGTTTGATACCACTTAAAAGTTGTGTTGGCTTAATAAGCAGAGTATACAAAAATTGATGAAATGATAACTGAAGTGGCTGAATTATCTGAACATGTTGAATTATAGAAAAAGTATATTTAAAATATATTTTATTAATAGATTTGAAAAAAAAGTTATATAGAAAATCACTAAAATTCTTCTCTGTAGTAATTTAAACCAATTCAGTCAGAAAAGTAACTTCAACCTTACTTATTTGATTATTTTACAATTTGGTGTGGGATATCAAAAGGGCTCTTAAACATTTTTGCAAAAGATCGGTGACCTAATTAGGAAAATCTACCTCGTCTGTTACTACCTCTGTTCATCTAATATTGATACAAGGGAAAGTGATGTGCTTAGCAAGAAAAGTAAATTATGTATGTGGTTAGTATTGCATTGTTGAAATGAAAATAAAGTAAGAATGATTTTGAACCACACAAATATTATCAAGTTTTCTATGAGATAATGTTAGTTGGGAGGACCAAAAAGCAAATATGAGACTTTTAACTAGACAAAGGGAGTGTTAAACAACTAATACTGAGTACTAAAATTGTTACAAGTGTAATTATATTAGTAATGTAATTATTTTGAGCCTGTTTGTTACTTTATTTTCAAATTATCAGACTAATCAAATACTCCAGTAACTTTTATGAAACATGTTGTTTTTTATTACACATGCCAAAATATTGTCTGATGAATTTGCACGAAAATACTATTTTTAATTTTTTTCGTAAATTAAAGCATATGCTTTTGTAAATCAACACTTGTAGACAATTTGATTGGAATTTGATAAAATTTAACAAAATCGGTCAATTTGATCAATTTCATTGTTATCAAATGGACTCTTCAAGTCTTGAGCTACAAATTGTGTGAGCAATAAATTTCAGAGGTAATGCGAGCAAGAAAACATGGTTAAAGGAGAAGAAAGGATATGAACTCTTCTACAAGCTAAGCACGCAGGAAAAGGTATACTTCTTACTTTTATCCTTTACTAATACATTTTCATAGTTCTATAAATTTTATCTGTTTTGGGGGTGAAATATCTTTTTAAACCTATTACAGTATCCGCTCACAATAATGTCAACATCCTTGATAGGGATGAGACTCGAACAAGTGATCACCTCTTTGGGAAATCAACAATGATGCAACTAGACCACGAGATACCTGGCCTATAATCGCTTCTCATCTTAGTATGCTCCAATTTTACTTGTAATTAAGAACAAATGCTCTACCCATATCAACTATCTTGCATGAGCCAATAACAAAACATACTTTAAAAATGGTTTCTAATAATATCAACTATTCGAATATATAATAAAATAATATGGAGTCATTCTTTGACAAGAAATTCGATCATTTAAAACATAAAAAACTTATATCAAACCATCAAATAAATGATATATGTCAATAGGGCCACTTATTTAATACTTTGATATTAGTTTTTGATGAATTAAATGATTGAATTTTTAGTGAAGTTTATCTTTATCACTTTTGTTATATATTCAGATAGTTGTACTCTTAAAAATTATATCCAAAGTACGTATTATTAACTTGGTTCATTGAAGATAATTTGTATTATTTAAAGTTATATGTGGAGAATTTACGCACCATAAAAATATTTACTTTGTATATTAGTGAATCTTATATTTTTCTTGATCTTTATTTATGGTACCATTCATTCCTATCTCGTATATTATCATGTCAAGGTCTTATATTAGATCGAATTTGAATCATGTATATAAATATGTACTAGAAATTTGTCACGGTGTTAATGATAATATTGTAGTACTTTGTTATGAAATTAAGAAAATGGGGTCTAGCCCTTATACACATTTGCATCTTTTTATTTTTTTTGATTCTTCTTTCATGATGAAAATATTAAGTACTCTATTTTTAAGTTGATACATACAAATGTTAATGTGTCAAATACTATAAATAATCATATCAAATCAACATAAAATGTGCATATTTTCAAAATCATTGGGCATTTTATTCATTCGCGCATCGCGCGTGTGGAAAACTAGTCTTGCTATAAATGTTTTAACCGTTGCTAGCTTTACTTTTTAATAAAGCATATTAATAAAGGTGGAAACGTTGATGTGTGACGTTGATTATATTATTAAATTTAAAAATTAAATACCTTATTCAGATCAGTCATTAGTTCTGTGAACATTATGATACATACACACACACACACACACACACACACACACATATATATATATCAATACATTAATTGAAAAGGCCCATTAAACTACCATTTATCACATCTACATGTGAAACATTTAATTCAAGTATTGTATAATAATTCTCCATCATTTTTATATTGTGTATAATTAAACACCGATCCCCCTCACACACTTTTCTGACTCCGCCCCTGGCTACACCCCGAAGAAAAGCTAATGAATTTTACACTAGCAGACGTCTATAGAAATCGCCGATGAGAACGCTGGATGTGTGTGCGCGTTCAAGATTCACTTGAACCGTCAAAACACACGTTTATCGTAGGGACTAAAGTGTAACTTAATTTCTTTTAAATAAATTAAACGGTTTCATCCATGTGTTTAAAGATGCCATATGTATCACTCTTATAGGTCCACGTTGGTAGAGGTACCATACCTTATTAATTTTAAGAGGTACCGTAGAAGCACTCTAATTATAATAGTCTTAAATTTAGTGGGATTAGCTAAATATGAAAAATAAGAAAAAATTACATTAAAAAACATCTATACTATTTTCGTTAAAATGGTATGTGATTATACACCTTGGTTGGTCGGAAAAAAGGGAGATCCTCGGCTTCCTAAAGGAATACATACTTAAGAAGCTGCATAGCTGGAACAACAGACTATTATCCAAAGCAGGTAGAGAAGTTTTGCTCAAAACAGTAATTCAGGCGCTTCCTACGTATGCAATGAATGTTTTTCTATTACCGGTTGAGTTATGCAAAGAGATTGAGGTGTTGATGAATGAATATTGATGGAAGGGAAATAATGCTTCGGGTAAGGGTATTAGATGGATGGCATGGCATCGACTTTGTAAGCCAAAGGAAAAGGGTGGGCTTGGTTTTCGCAAGCTATGAGAATTTAATGTGGCAATGCTAGGTAAACAAGCTTGGAAATTTGTTACGAGCCCAGGTGCCTTGGGGAGCAAAATTTTCAAGGTAAAGTACTATCCAAACACATAAGCAAAGTTGGGAAACAGTCCGTCTTTTGTATGGAGTAGTATCTTTGAATCGCAATCTGTGATTGCTAACGGGTTGAGGAAGAGATTTGGGGCAGGCAAAGAAGTTGCAGTGTGGGGGATGCGTGGTTACCAGGGGCTGGGACAGGGAGGGTTCAATCGGCCCGACCCCCTGGAATCAAGGACATGAATGTGGCTGCACTATTAGGGGAGACAGGTAAGAGCTGGAATGAAAGTAGAGTTCAGGATCTGTTTTCAGAGGAAGAGGCAGCTACTATCTTGAGCATTCCATTACCTATCAATGCTACTAGCGATGTTTTCTGGTGGGCAGATGATGCTAGGGGAAGACATACTGTTAGAAGCTGCTATAGGCGGTTAGTTGGGGAGGAAAATCCAGATGGATGGTGGGGCTGGACCCGCCTATGGAGAATGCATGTACCCCCAAAAGTAAAGCTTTTCTTTTGGCAACTTATGATGGGGGTTCTACCGACTCTTGTTAATTTAGCGGGGCGCAAGGTGAATGTGAAGACTACATGCCTAATTTGTAAAGATGGGGAGGAGTCAGCTGATCATTTGTTTCTCACATGCAGGGGAGCTAATGAGGTATGTGATATGTTAGGGGACATATTTCATAGTAGAGGATTTTCACCAGCAGGTTGGTTGCAGATTATGTTTGAGCAGCAGGATGACAACATCATTGTAAAGGCCATAATGGCTATGTGGAGTATATGAAAAGGTAGAAACAGTTTAGTGTGGAAAGGGGAGAAGTTTTCTAGCAGTGGGTTTGTTGTGATGGGTTGTACACTGCTGGAAGGGTGACGGGCGGTGCAAGCAAAAGCTGGAAGTAAGACGGGCATCAAAGATATGAGGAATGATAGGTGGAAAAGGCCGGAGGCCGGTTGGATAAAAATAAACGTGGATGCGGCCAGGGACGGAGGTGGAGGGGTGGCCAACCGAGCCACGGCCCAACCCAAATTTTAAAATTGCTTATATTTTTAATGCAAAAATTTATGTGTAAAAATTTATGTGTAAAAATTCTTTGTACCGACCTAGCCCAACTCTTACTCCTGGCTACGCCCCTGGATGCGGCAATTGACCAACCGAAAGGAGTCCGAGCTTGGAGTTGGGTTGTGAGAGAAGAGCATGGACAGTTCATTGCAGCAAGGAAGGAGGCAGTCAACGCCGTTTGGGATCCGAAAGTAGCAGAAGTGGTCGGCTTAAGAGAGGCTATTAGATGGGCTTGAGAGGAAGGTTGGGAAAAGGTAGAAGTGGAAACGGATGCAGCTCTAGTGGCGTCTGGAATTGAATCATCTCCTGGGTTCACGTATTTTGAAACTATACTACCAGTAGATGATATTAGACTTTTGCTTAGTGATAAAGAACAACATTATAAAGTTTGTTATTGTAAACGATTCGCGAATCAGACCGCTCATGTGTTAGCACGAGAGGCTGTTTCGGAATAGCCAACATTCTGGCTAATGACGCTTTAATATAATTAAGTATGAGCTTTTGATTTAAAAAAAATGTGCGTGATCCCTAAAAATGAATGGTTTATGAAAATACTAGATTTAACTTTAAAATGATTAACATATGTGACCCACCATAACTTTTCTTTCAAATTCAATTTAAGGGGTGTTTGGATCCGATTCTTAAAACTGCTTCTCCTCTTTCAGGGAACATAAGTTGGAGTGTTTGAGTGAAAGTGTAGAAATGATTCTAATACTCTAATTTACTCCTAGAATCAGGTTTTTTAGAAGTTGGGGGACCAACGTCTGAAAACTGATTCTGATTCTACTTTTAAAAAATATCAGAAGTAGAATCAGTTTCAAACACCCCTAAAATGAACCCACTAATTAGATTTATGAAATATTGAAACAATCCGTTTAGTGATTATGTTCATGAGTGAACAGACATCGAACTCAGGAATCTAAAACTGCATAAATTCTCATGACCAAATGGCTTTAAAACTCTCGGCGGCAGCCTCGTCCACTCTGATACGTCGTCGTTTACCACTAGTCGGAGCCTTCTGCGTGCTGACTTTCGGCTTTTCCAATCTCTCCGTCCCTTCCTCCGTTCAGTCCTTCCCTTTCACCCCACTATTCAGGTATACAATAAATTCCTTTCATTTCTTCAGAGTGAGATCTGTGTTTTTGACAATCTTTCAAAGCGTTACAGATCAAAACTCGGTGGCCGATCACAGAGTGTAAGTGCTCATAGTATAAGAATGGAAGCCAGCGATAACACTGTACCTAGCATCGTTGTGTACGTTACTGTTCCTAACAAAGAAGCGGGTCAGTCTTTAATCATCTACTTATGCTTTTCGTTTGATTAATTTTGGCTAGCAGTGATATTTTGTAGTAATTTAATTAGGAGCAATTGAATTCGCTTAGGGTACGCAGTTACACACAATATTAAATTCTCCATTTTGGTGTTTAGTTGTTTACTACCTGTAAATTGATACTTAAGCAACTGAGATTACTTTACTTGTCATGCTTGAAAGTTCAATTATCTGCAGATTGTATTGTTCGTCCTAACTCCTAAGCATATCCTTCCGCATTCATTGTATGTTTATGTGTATGGCTTTGACATTGTTAGGTACCCCTGGCAAGTGGGGATAGTTGGTGATTGCTTAGCTTCTGCCCTTTTTTCTGCAAAGTTAATAAGTTCTTGAACTTTTGATCCCTCTGTCACAAACATGTTTAATTAGGCATTCTGAGTTGCTATTGAACATTTAGATTGAGCATCGCCCTGAACTGACTAATGTTGTTGAAATGGAATGCTTCCCGTATTCAATCAATCCCTGCATGATATTTAGGAATGACAATGCCTTGAGTACCCTAACCATTGTGGATTCACAGAGTGTAAGATGGATGAATAAATCAAATCCTAAACCCATCTAGAGCCCATTTTGTAACCACTTTTTGGTATATCAACCAACTTTTTATCAAAAAATGAAACTTTTGATTTTGTGTGTTGAATTGTGTAATAATTAAAATGAGTAAGTATGAAGTTACTTTTAGTTTGCCAAAGAACTATTTTAGTTTTTTCCATGTAATTTGTCTTTATTTTTTCATGTATTTCTTTTTAATCCGGCAAATTCAATCAATTCAACCGATTTAGGTAGAACTCATCAATTTGACTATTTGAGTCTTTGAGAAGATCCAGCCGATATTAGTGTTACTAACCGAGTTCTTAGCTTTAGAGTCAAGGCCCTTGTCATCCTGTTTGCAGAAAACCCGAACCTGTTCAGTCAATGTTCTCATTTTGTTCAGTTTGCTGAACTTTTATTTAAAGTCATCCGTATTCTAAAACTGAATACTCAGAAATTCGTAATATCTAATATTCACTTAATGAGTTATTACAAACAAAAACAAAATACTATGCATTAGTCTGAATTGGGCTTTGTGTTGTACTATATTTAAAGGGTTACTACGTTGGTATATATTCATTGGTAGAGGTAATTTAAAGGCGCCTTATTACACTCACCCATTGTCTTCCATATATTGATATGCCTGGCATACTCCCACAATTGATTAAACTTTTACAGATTGCATTTTCAACTCAGAGATTCACTATCCTTTTCGTTCTTATCTTTTGAACACATTCATTTTTCTAATTAGTGAAACATGCTTATATACAACATGATGTTCTATGACTTTCTGTTGTTGCTTCTACTCTACTCATTATTGCCTTTTTGCCAGGTAAGAAATTGGCTGAGAGCATAGTAAAGGAGAAACTTGCTGCATGTGTTAATAGAGTACCAGGCAAGTCTACTTATCATGCCTTGAGTCATTAAATTCCCTGTACTATTACTTTTTAATGGAACAAATTATGTAATGCTTCATTGTCAGCAAATGGATGGATATACTGAATGAATGGTAGCCAAATGAAATATATTTTAGATCTCCAACATCCTGTTATCTTAAATTACTTCTCTTCTTCTTCTTCTTCTTCTTCTTCTTCTTCTTCTTTTATTATTGATTAGAATATCTATAACTACTATCTGACTTGGTAATTTATATTTAGGCATCGAATCTGTTTATGAGTGGGAAGGACAGGTAATGCTACATTTTGTAAACCTCAATAACCTATTCGCCTTCATTATGCGGCTTTCGTTTTAAGAGATGTATGGTGTATCTCTAATGGTTTGAGTGCAGATACAGAGTGATTCGGAAGAGATGCTTATTATCAAAACTAGGAAGTCTCTCTTGGAAGCTCTCACTGCTCATGTCAAGGCCAATCATGAATATGAGTAAGCCCTTTCTCCCATAAATCTCTTACCCTCTGTCTCTCTATACTGTACATCAGTTTTGATGTCATGGCCTAAATCCACGGCGGTCGGCGGAGAGTCTGTGGATGGAATCTTGTGTGTGTTCGATGGGTGATTAATCCGGTGTGCTTGTTTATGCAGTGTTCCTGAAGTGATCGCCTTGCCCATAGTTGGTGGTAGCCCCCAATATTTGGAGTGGGTTAAGAACAATACTAGAGAGAAGTGATTTAACTTGAATAACATACGGAGTATAAGATTTCATTGTACAAATTTACATCCTGTAATGCTACAATCTGCCATTCTGCAACACATTGCACCTCAAATAAAGTTGCTGCAAATTTCTTACGCCTTGGTTCTTCGATCACAGTGGCCTAAGGAGATTTCATTAGTTGATCAGTGCATATCTTTTGCTAGTTTTGGCAGTGACCTAATATCTGAAGGCCAATATCTGTACTGGGACTATTTTCTGAATAACCGCTCAAAGAAGTCACAACTTCCTAGATTTGAAAGCTCCCTGTAATGAATAACAGTTACGAAATTCTTGAAAAGATTGCTAAAGGCATAGAAATGGAATAACCGTTCAAAGAAAAAAAAAGGAATAACCGCTCAAAGAAATCATCAATTGTATATTCACTAGTGATGAAATCTTAAGTGCAGGCATCAATGTCATTAGTGATATGGAATGCATTTTGAAAATATGGTCTTGGAAAGTTATTTGTTCATGGGGTGGTAACTTGGACGGAAAAAACTTGCATTGAAAGCTTTCATTTCTATGTTATTTTTTGGGGGGGGAAAACAAGAGATTGCCAAACTTTGACCCTGATTTATCAGGGCGGTAACTGTGCATCATTAAAGAACAGACATAATAAACAAAGACATAAATAAGGTGAACAAAAAATTCAAGAAGAAATGGCTAAAGTTTTATTTGAAACAAAACACGGATCAATATAAGTAGATAATAGATCTTAGCTGATCATGTCATAAATAAACAAATAGCAAAACTAAGATACTGCCACATAATCTTGAACATAATCTTGATTGTCTAGTTATTTGAACAAAAAAAATAAAAGAAAAACCATGTGAATATCATTTATATCAAGGAGTGGCCTTTGATGTAGTCAACAAAACAAAGAAACTGAAAACTGAAAACTGAAAATTAACTTGTACCTAACTAATGGAGGTGCAGAGAAGCTTGAAAGGAAATAGCTCGTTTGTGAACCATTTCTTCCGTTGGAATGCCCAGCTCAACTAAAAGACTTTTCAAAAAATGGTGATCAAGAAAATCTGTCTCCGCCTCTTCATAATAAATAAAATCAAACTATCAAGTTCAAAAAGTTGAAAATTATCTCTTGCACTGAATAATAAGGGAGAGAAATCGTAATAACTAAATTCGAGCTATTAAATTCAAAGAGTTGAAAATTTATTTTCTTACACAGTGAAGAACAAGGGAGAGAAGACAATACCGGTGTTGCCCATTTCTGAATTGAGAAGCTTTATTCTACAAATGTCAATAATGAAAATCTACATCACATTAAATGGTAAATTTCACACAAATGAAATCAAAAGGTTGAATGAAGTGGAGTGGAAGAAGATGAAGAAGATGAAGAACCGGTTCACATACTAGTATACCACTATATCTGTAGATCCGGCAAATTATTCAATCTGGCGGTTGCTCATAGCATACAAGCGCGTAGGCCAGGAACGCTGGCATAGGCTTTGGCCTTGTGCATGAGTGAACGAAGTGAGTTCTCAAGGACTGAACCAAGAGCAAACCAATTTGGGTTGAATGTGATGGAATACATAAAGGGAGAGAAGCGGAAGTGAATGGAGCGAGGCAGCAAGGGAGAGTATCTTAACGGAAGACGTTTGGTGACGGAGAAATGAAGGGAAACCGGTTCAATTACTTAAGCTGCAGGTACACATCAACAAAGCTACAATGTTACACCAACACATTTTTTATATTCAAAAGAGGCTTACATTTACTAGTGCTTATAAGTTTGTATGTACATAGATATAGACGTTTCGGAGTAACGACATACGCAATAAACTTTAGCCACTATTCTTTGTTCATGCATCATGAAGATGAAGCTTTCACATACTAGTTTTTTATTATTATTTTATAATAATGTGTTAATATGTAATTTTCTTATAAATGATAACATAAGTTCGCAATTAATAGTTTTCCACCAGTCTCTTATATTTGTTCCATATTTGTTATTCAACCCCAATTATTGGAATTGTCTCCTATTGTATAATTTGTATTTAGTCGTGCACTCGTGATTGAGTGATCTAATTCCACATTTACAAATTTGATATTAAAAACACAATTCAAATATTTCTTACTCGAGTAATATTCTTTATGCCTCGATTTATAAAACTTATTACTCCGTTATAATTTTTATAGGGAAAAGGAACTTATATACCCCTCCACTATTATATGGTAGAAACAAATATACCCCTCTTCTTATTTTTGGAACAAAAGACTCATAAAATTGCAATTAGGAAACAAATAATGTACCCCTCTCCTAACGTTTGACAACTTTCCGTCAGATCTAAAATTACACCCAAAATTGAATGAACATCCATTCTATCTTCTCCATCGTAGCAACTAGGCTCAGCTCCAGGCTTCTTCACATTTTAGCAGCGACGTGATTAAAGTTCCTTCCTTCTACCTTATAATTCTTTATTTCTTTATCTTCCTCGATTCCATCCAGTAGCTTTGCAAAGCCAGTCATTTTCGAGCTTGAGTATGAAGGGAAGTGAAAACGATGCTTTTGTGGACAAAAGCTCCAAGCTAGATTCAAATTTTTTGTTTGTCTACCTAGATTTTTCCTTCCTGAGATGTTTATGATTATCTTTTTGTGCATATGTTTTTTTACATGTTATTTGAATAGAAAAGTGAATAAAAATGTGCAGGTCAATGGATGCATATATTTTGAATGGCATGATGTTGATAACAACAATAATAAGCTGTTGGAGAATAAGAGATTTTCGTAAAGTGCAGGTCAATGGTGACAGTGACGGATCTAGGCATCGGAGCTCAGTGTATGCACATATTAATATGAATATATAATATTAATATAGTACTCCCTTCGTCCCGGATAGAACTTTTGGTACGATATTTTAGGAACTCAATTAATAGCAGAACAAATGTCTTGTATGCCCTTTGACTTTTGGGAGAAATTAATGTTATCGACTCAAATGTAAAATGTGGGTAGGCAGTGAAGGGTAGTTAGGACATTTAATCTAACTCCTAAAAAACGTAAAATAGTAAATAAGACATTCCAAAAGGTAACGTGTAAAGATTTAAATGGGACGAATGAAGTATGTGATATCTAATACGAATTACAAATCTATTGCAGCTCTGGCCTCTGGTCCGACCAACTAATCGTTTGCAACTTCTCAAACAGAGTTTTTTGTTATTAGTAATAATAATGATTTAAACAAACGACACAATAATAACAATATATAATTATTACCTTGTAGTCTAGTACTCGTACTACGTAACTAATAAGGCTTACAAAAAGCCTAAACTGGAGCCTAGAAAAGAATCTTCCAGAACTACTAGAAATGAGAGAGCTAAGCGCATACGGAGTTGAAATGGGTTAGAATTTGTAATTTTGATTATTTAGAATTTAATAATATAATACGGAGTATTAGTGTAGTACTTAATCTTCATATACGCAGGGCATATCTTAAAATCCCACTCTCACGAAATTAAAATGGCATGGGAAAAGTACTCCAAAAAATAAAAATATACCACCTGAAGCCTTACACAGATTCAAACTCTTGACCTGAAGAATAAGGGGAGTTTAATATTTCACTCTACTACCATGTTAGCTAGTAACAATATTTGAGGTGTAGCCAATGCTTACACTTAATATACTATAGAACCGCCCCTGAATGGTGATCTTCTTCTCATTTATCAGCTTATGTGGAGAATAAAAAATTTGCAGGTCAATGGTGATCGTCTTCTTTCTAACCGATTTGGGCTAAAGATTTGATAAATGAGGTGAAGTTTCTAACCATATGAAACTCGAGTATGAAAAAGCTAGAGTTAGATTTGACATAATAATGTTGGATTCGATTCAGTTCACGAACCTAAATGTTAAATATTCAAACTAAACCGGTTTTTCGGTTTCATTATCGAAACCCAATTTTTTGATTTCCGGTTCGGTTTTTCAGTTATCCCAAAATAATATACTCCGTAAGATATAACCATATTGAACAATATTTGATTATGGAGTCGTCGCACATTTGAGAATTATTAGCCACCTATTTTAACTATGCTTCCAGTGGGCCGATATATAGGGAGGAGATATGAGGAGTAATGATATTTTCTTTTGGACTGAAATTTGATGGTCTGGTCTGAACTAGTAAATGTCTAGTTTTTGTGTATTTTATAACTATGCAAGTTTGGTCTGGTAAAAAAGAAAACATTTTGAATCCTCGGTGTAGATAACTATGAATTGTCCGTCATTTTTTTTGAATTCTAAATGAAATGACTTTACAGAAGAAAAAACTAAAAATTGTGTGCGTTACCATTGAGCTGCTGAGGAACCTAGGTATCCACAGACTCACAACGTAGATATACTGTATGATAAAAAGTCAGTTTGGTTGGGTCTGAACCGATTTAAAAATTCAAAGAACCGTTTTCGAACCGATTTATAGTTGGGATCCGACTTTCAGGTCCCATTCAAATTAGTTCAATTTTGATTCGGTTTTTGTAATGCTTGGTTTGATTTATTTCGGTTATGGTTTTCGATTAAAAATGCCAGCCCTAAATCCTAATATAAACATTAGTAGTGGACCATTTCCTCATTTGGGAAGCTGCTATTTCTAGGTAAAATACAAAGCCATGGGGACACGCCAGTAACTTTTGCTAATACGTTATGTGATGTAATTTTCTCGCACTAAAAATATGTAGCAGTATAGGGTATAAGTACGAGTATCGTCTCCACAAGGACGGAAAAAAAGGAATTAAGAACTAACTAAATTCAGCGATTAAAAATAAATAAAATAAATGAGATTTCACGAGATTTGGATTTTTGAAAAACTAAAATACAATTAAACGAATAAAAATAGATTGGTTCTTTCTAATTAACGACGAAGGGAAAATGAATTGATTCTGGGGTAACAAGACTTCTACTTGATCAAGCTGAATCACATGAAAATTATTTAATTGAGCAACACTTATCAATACTAAGTTCTAACCACTCTCGCGGCGTAGAGTACAATAAATTAGGGTACCGGGCTGATCTCTAAAATTATTGTCAAAACGAGCGAGCGTACGGCTCCTAAATCGTTACTAATCTCTTACTGAATGATTAAGTGTGTGTGAAGGTGTCCTAGAATAAATTAGATCTCTCTTAATTCATTCTACATGCAATTGTAATTCCAGCGGCCGTTCTAGGTTACAAGAGATATCAATTAAATCATTCATGCACAAATTAAATAAAGATTCATGCAATTTAAACCATTAAGAAACTAGCCATACATCATGATTAACCCCTTCATCAATCTCAAATCTCTAATTAAAACTACTCACAATTCATAATTGAAGAATTAATAGAATTGAGATGAAAAGAATTAATTGTCATTAATTAAAAAGATGAAACTTACAAAGAATCCCAAAATATTGATGAACAAGGGTGAAAACTCTCTAAATTTTGTGCTAAGCACTCTCTCTAAGCTCTGTAACCCTCAAACGTGGCCTTATTTATATAAAACGATGAAATACGGACCGAATTTGGATTTTCCGACGCAGGCACAACGCTAGGCACAGCGTGCCTAATGTCTGTGCCTCCGGAGCATAGGCGCTCTTCGGCGTTGGGCACAGCGTGCCTCGTGGGCAGGCACGGCGTGCCTGACTGGCAGTAGCTCCATCGTTGTTTCATTCAGCGGGCACGGTGTGCCCGACTTTGGACTCACGACATGCGCCCTTCCCGCCCGAATTTGATTATGGTTTCTTCACCAAAGTTGTAGTTAATGAAGTCTTCCATCCATCACAGCTTGCAAAACTAGATTTAGATCATCTAATCAAAAGATATGAATAAAATGGTGGAAGGTCGCATCCTGGAATCTCAACAACGATTATCTGACTTCCTTGGTCTGTTTTCACCTTACTCCTGTGTAATGTTCTAAAAGGCGCTAGGCGCTAGTCGGGCGCCAGCCCAGCGCCTAGGCGGCTAGGCGGGCGCCTAGGCGGGGACTAGTTGGAGATAGGGGTGGGCATGGGTCGGGACGGTTCGGGATTAGGGTTATCCCGGTCCCGTCCCAATTAATAATAGCGGGACGGGACAGTACGGGACAAGCCTTTGTCCTAGTATTGTCCCATTCAAATCGGGACGGAGATGATTCGGAACGGTTCGGGACGGTTCGAGACGTCTCAAACTAACAAAAAATAATCATTTGCAATTAATATATATTTGCATTTCTAAAGTATCATGCACCAAAATATTAATATTTTAAAAGTTAATTTATGTTTATCACGAGCTAAAAGCTACTACGTATTAGATTTTAGTTAGGTTTAGCAAAATTTGAAATTTAAATTTAAAACAAAGCAAAAATGAATTAGTTTATTCAAAATCAAAATCATGTGTTCTAGTTGTGAGATACTCATACGTAGATATATAAAGTGAGATAAAAACCTATGTTAGTAAATATTTATGTTAGGTATTATTTTTAATATAAAAATTGGGCTTGAAAAACTAAAAACATGTTATCATTTATTTTTTGAGTTGACGCTACAAACTAGTCACATGCTACAAAATCTATATAGTTATTACAAACGGGACAACGGGACGGTTCGGGATAACCTTCCAATGTCCCGGTCCCGTCCCGTTTTAAACCGGTACGGGACCGGTGCGGGACAAAATCAATGAGACCCAAACGGAACGGGACAACACCGGTACGGTTTCGGGATATACCGGAATGGGACAACGGGACCGGGATTCTTGCCCGCCCCTAGTTGGAGACATAGAAATTGCATTTTTATCTACATTTTTGCATAATTATGGTAAGTAATATTGTATTTGTGTGTGTATAAAACACATATATACATATACATTAACAAACATAAAAGATAGAATTATCACATCTAATCATATGTAGTATTTGATAACTAATCATAACTTCATTATGTTATAAATATAAATAATGATTAAATTTAGATATACGGAGTATATACAAACATGTATAGTTTTATATAAATAATGATTAAATTTAGACATACGGAGTATCTTACTTATATCCATGACTAAAGTTAAAGTACGTATATCGCTTGGAAAATTAAAATTAAAAAGTAAAGTAATGTTCGGCGAATCTAGACGGCCTAGGCGGCCGATTAGGCGCTCTAGGCGGGCAACTAGGCGCCATAGGCGGCCGGCCAATTAGTCGGAGCGCCTAGACGAAAATCGGGGCGCCCGGCCACCGCCTAGCGCCTAGGCGGGGACTAGTCGGGCGCCTAGAACGATTTTTAGAACAGAGCTCCTCTGACTTTCTTTGTAGTTCTTGAAGTTAGCTTTCATATGGAACTTGAATCGTGTACTTTGGTTGTTTCTACAAAAATATATGTTTGAACGGTTGACAGAACGTCATCCTGATCGTCATTTTCAAGTTCTATTCGTTTTCTTTTGACCCCTTAGCCAATTCTATAGCTCTTTTGTCTTCAAAATTTCATCGTGAACCTCCCGGTGACCTCCAAAGCTCTCAATTCTCTCTTGAATGTATCTCGACTGGTCCCGATTGCTTCTCAAGCGCCCTTGCCGGGCTCAAATTCCCCGGTTTCGACTCCAAAAATACCAAACTTGAATCAACGCCCGGTAAACTATGACTTGAGCTAAAATTGAGACTTATGACGCCTTAAAGCTCGGAAAAGCATCAAAAGCCGATCTCAACACGCATCAAATGGATGCCAAAATACGGACTTATCACTATGTTATGCCATGATGATTTCAACCTTTGGAAATCATGTTATAATGTCAGTAATAGTGCCTGTGATGTAAGCCTTGGACATGCGTGTCTGGAGCACTTGAGAAATGGCTAGTGTATAAACATGAACTGAGCCATAATGATGCTCGACCTCGCTGACGTAGTTCAGCGCATAGTAGGAGAACATGCTCATTGAGGACTGCCGAGTCCTGATTATGATGTCGGCCTTGACATAGGACCTCAACACACCAAGTATATGACTTAGGCTCCCGAATTGTATTATCCGTCTCTGAACCTTTAAGGCAACTTTTAAGGCGTGTGACAATATACTCCATCAAGATAAACTATTACTTAAGATGATTAGTATGGTACTCAACAGACACTTCAATGTCTCACAATTAAATACTGAAGTGTATATAATTTGCATCTAACTTACTCCCTCCGTCCCATAATTATCTTCATTCTTTCCTTTTTTGTCCGTCCCAAATTTATCTCCTCTTTCCTTTTTTAGCAAAGGATTTGTGGTTCACAACCATTCTTACACATTTCTCTCTCCTCTGCACAACTCTCAACCACACATTTCCCATTTTCTTAATCTCTGTGCCCAGTCAAAACCGAAGTTAATTCTGGGACGGAGGGAGTATTATTGTTCACTTAAATATCTAGTGGAGGAGACATCTTCTCCTCGCCGTCTTGATCAGAATTATCGTCTAACAGGCTCCATTTGAGTTGCTTCCGAGTAAAATTAGTTGATGAAATTTTGTGAACGTTCAATCAAAAGAAAGTCTGTTTAATAAAATTTTCAACAGTACATTTTATATTTATATTTTTTGTGCAATTTTTTTTAAATAATTTATATTACGTATAATTGATTTGCCAATTGAATTTTAAAATTAAATTTTGTGGAAACATTTCACAAAATTCTATCAAAAAAATCCAGTCAAATGAAAGCAATTCTGGAAACAAAGTCAAAGAAATTCCACTGGTAGTTGGTTGGTACGGGGAAGTACCTACTACAGCCGATGAGCGATGAACAAAATCACACTCCCCTGATACATCGTTCCCATCGACCATCAATCTATTTACCTTCTTCCTAGGATTAAACCCATTGCCGATCTCGAAAGTTCAGAGGACAAAGGATAAGAAACATGGCTGCTACCTCATCTGTCTCGGCAGCATTTAAGCCCGAAGTGAAATCCATCAACAAACCCCTTCCGACTCCATTATCACTATCCACCGCGCAAATTCCGTTCCGCAAGCCATCCTGGCATCCTTTTTGCAATCACAAGCTCCGATTCCGGGCGAACTCGATGGAGCGCCAGGTACAATCAGGGCAGCCTGCAGGTCCTCGGACGTCAAAGGGCAGCGGCGCATTGCAGAAGGACCCGCGGAAGCTGTGGAATAGGTACTTGGATTGGGTGTACCGGAACAAGGAGCTGGGGTTGTACCTGGACATCAGTCGGGTCGGGTTCAGCGACGAGTTCATGTCGCAAATGGAGCCCCGGATTCAGAAGGCCTTCAAAGACATGGAGGAGCTCGAGAAAGGCGCGATTGCGAATCCCGACGAAGGGCGTATGGTCGGACATTATTGGCTCCGGAGCCCGCACCTCGCTCCCAACTCTTCCCTCCGGTTGCAGGTTGAGAACACCCTCGAGGCTGTTTGTAAGTTCGCAGACGACGTCGTCACTGGTAAGGTCAGTTCTCTGACCACACAATCTAAATATTCTCAATCGCATTTTCATGTGTTTATTAGGGATTTAAGGAGTATCTTTCTTTTGCTGTTTCTGACATCTTCAAATGATAATGACATAACATCTTTATCATAAACTGTTTGTTTTACTGGGTATTAAGAGAAGAATGTTGATACTCTATTACTCTGTATAACTTTGCTCTTCTTGTAGTACTCATATAATTTAGCAGTTCATTGTTCTGTTCTTTCAAAATGTTTTAGTGAAGTCTTTTTGTAGTGTATGCCATGTTTTAAAGAAAAAGAGTCGCTTTTTGGCCTAACAATGGCGTCTGATTCATTGTGAAAAAGCTCACGCCTTTACTTTCTATGATTCCATATGTGCTTTTGAATCATTTATTTGTGGATGAACGTACCTAACCCTTATAGGCTTTAAACATATTTATAAATAAATTACTTCAAGTAGGAGTAAAACTGGGATCGTATGCACAAATAGGAATATATATTTTTTATTCTTAAGTTTGAGTCAATCAGCTCTTAAAGAAGAACAAAAGTAGTTAAAAGTTCTTCTTTTAGGAGTGGATGAGTCCTATTTTGAGAATAAAATGATTGACCCATTTGAAGAGATGAATTGGGGTTTAGTCCAATAACCAATTTATAGTTTTTTATATTTAAGAAATGCTCTTTTTGTAGAATAGATATTTTGTAATTGCATCTTTTATTTATCTAAGTCATTAACACTTTAAGTGCAGATCAAGGCTCCTTCAGGTGGCCGATTTACTCAAATTCTTTGTGTTGGAATTGGTGGTTCTGCACTTGGGCCCCAGTTTGTGTCTGAGGCATTGGCTCCCAATAACCCTCCCCTGAAGGTAATTGGATATTCATAGTAGTAATGCATATTTACATTTTACTATTTTAGTGTGTTACTCGTTTGTTGCTGCTTCTCAGTTGTTGTTTAATCATGTGGACGGGCAGATTAGGTTCATTGACAACACTGATCCAGCTGGCATTGATCATCAAATAGCACAACTTGGGCCAGAGCTGGCATCAACACTTGTTATTGTGACCTCTAAGGTTTCCATGGATATAATAATCTTTAATTCATCTTTTTCTGTTTGTTATGTGTAACTAGAAGTAAAAGAACTTTTTCTTTTGTACTCCGTGTTTATTTAATTTTTGCTTCTTAATTTACACAGAGTGGAGGCACCCCTGAAACCCGAAATGGTCTACTGGAAGTACAGAAGGCCTTTTGTGAAGCAGGGCTCGAATTCGCAAAACAGGTTTTGATCTCAGGTTCTTATTTTTATTAGATTCCCTTTATTCCTCAGCAAGCTGCATATTTTAGGAAAGAAGCTACTTAAGCATGTGAATCTTGTTAAGCTTAATTTGTACTCCATCCATTCTCTCTTTACTTTCGCAGAGTTTTTTTTTTTTTTTTTTTCTGGTAAATGCTGCTCTAGGATATCAAGATACCATGAATTGATTATTTTCCACTATTATCCTTCTTCATTTATAAGGCACACATGCTACATACCACTTCAAAACATTAATAGGGGTTTCTTATCATATAATGTTACATTTACCTTGATTTCAGAAATCTATTTCTACATCTGTTATGTAATCCCATTCACAATTGATGCGATCAGCCTAACTCTCTTTTAATCTCTAATTTTATGAATCATTTTTTCATATTCAATATCGGTTTTATCGGTTCAATATAACTTTTAGGGTAGTTTGTGAGTATGTAAATTTTAATAACCAATACTAATTTATTTTTTTTGGGGTGAGAATAAACTTTATCCTCAGTCCGGTCTTGTAATCTGAAATTGAAACACTATTACGAAATGGAGGCAGTACTTCTTAGCATGTACGCGAATACCTAAAACAGCACTGGAAAACAGAATCAACTGTGTAATCTCTTTTCTTAAGAACATATATATGTTCTTTATGTGGTCAATTAATGGTTTCCATGTCTCAGATCACCCCCTCCAAAGTAAATAAAAAATATATAGTGTATTCATTGCAATCTATTACAATGGCAACCTCTTTGAAATGGATACCAATTTTGTGGCTTACTGGCAGGGAGTTGCCATTACACAAGACAATTCGTTGCTTGACAAGACTGCCATAAGCGAAGGATGGATTGCCAGATTTCCTATGTTTGATTGGGTTGGTGGTAGAACTTCTGAAATGTCTGCTGTTGGTTTGCTTCCAGCAGCTCTTCAGGTTTGTGATAATATCTACTGTCTATGCCGCCAAGGTTCTCCCAACTTCCTAAGCCCCCTTATGCTCACATGTTCATTTTCCTTGAATGTTGTTGTTGTTATAATAATAATTATTCTTATTCTTATTATTATTCCAGGGAATTGATATAAGAGAGATGCTTGCTGGTGCTGCATTGATGGATGAAGCAAATAGGACTACTATTGTATGATTGATGACTTTTTTAAAATGATTTGTTTTTCTAAGCTCAAAATTTACGCTCTTACTCATATTCTTAGAAGTAGTTGTGGTTAAGATTTAAGAATTGTGCACACTTCAGGTCTGTGATAACCCTGCAGCGCTTCTTGCCCTATGTTGGTACTGGGCGACTGATGGAATTGGATCTAAGGTATGTACTACTGTAGTTTTAGCTATTGTAAATTCCACTTGTATCCTTTATCTGCAGGGACATTTTCATTTCTAGTCATTGTTTTCAGAAATCATTCAAGATTTATTTAGTCATTTAACGCAATATGCTTCATGGGTGGGCCTATGCAGGATATGGTTATTCTTCCATACAAGGATAGCATGTTATTGTTCAGTAGATACTTACAACAGCTGGTCATGGAGTCACTTGGAAAAGAATTTGATCTGGATGGTAATAGGGTATGTCCCTCAATCTTAATGTTCTGCCAGGAAGAAACTAATTGTACTATACAAACCGTTTCGACTGGGAACCAAAAACAAAAAATGCTTGTCTTTTCACTTATAGGTGAATCAAGGAATCACAGTATATGGAAACAAAGGGAGCACAGATCAGCATGCGTATGTTTAGATTTGAAATGTGTTATTCAATTATATGCGGTGATTCATCTCAGATCATTGAATGTTTTGTAATTTCTTCAGTTACATCCAGCAGCTGAGAGAGGGGGTGCACAATTTCTTTGTCACTTTTATTGAAGTACTACGTGACCGGCCCGCCGGTCATGATTGGGAGCTTGAACCTGGTGTCACCTGTGGTGACTACCTTTTTGGAATGTTACAGGTTCTCTTAGTCTAGTTAGTTATTAGTATTCGGTGGATATGATTATTTGGAGTGTTATCAACTTTTGGTCATCCAACTAATGTGTCAATGACACTGTTGGTACAGTTTTTGAATATTTTCCACTTTTAGTCTTGTGACTATTTATTGTTACATATCTTATTATCTTAAAGTATTGTTGGCACCATAGTCAGAAGAGTACAGGTGGAAAAATTCAAAGGCGGATACCAAGAGTCTCGGTCAAATTAGTTAGAGGACCAAAAGTGAAAAAAATAAAATAAAGGTGTCAAATTGTCATTTGACAATTGTTGAATGACTGAAATTGTCTACTTATCATTTTAATTCCACACAGGGAACAAGGTCAGCCCTTTATGCCAATAATAGAGAGTCTATTACTATAACAGTACAAGAGGTGACACCTAGATCGGTTGGTGCCCTAATAGCACTCTACGAACGAGCTGTCGGTATTTATGCTTCACTGGTCAACATTAATGCTTATCATCAGCCCGGTAAATATAATGCATTCTTCTGATTCTGTGATGACATTTAGGGACTGATTGGTTTGGGCGTTTGAGTAGATAACAATTCCAAATTTTAAAAATTGAATGTAATAACAGGTGTAGAAGCTGGGAAGAAAGCTGCAGGAGAAGTTTTAGCGCTTCAAAAGCGTGTTCTTGCAGTACTTAATGAAGCCAGGTATGCAGGCCTGGCATTTGCCGTTTAAGAACCTGTTTGGTACATACTAGAATGGCCAATTATGTTTCTGTAGCAAAATATGCCTACTTTATATAATAAGATTTACGTAGTACGGAGTACTTTAAAACATATACACAATAAATTAAAAATGTAACTTCTAGGAATATAAGTATATTCATTAATTGCAGCCCTTTTAGACAAAAAAGAAATACTCCACTACTTTTTAGTTTTTCCTGCTGTTAGTAAGCTGGTGCAGTAAAGTGAAAATGCAGGCTGATAAGTTAAAAATGAAACCTGCCAAACGAGCTCTCTATCTCTTACTCCCTCCGTCCCTCAATGTTTGTCCTAGTTTGACTTCACAAATACTAAGAAATGAATTTGACTTTACACTGTAGTGACACTGTTTGACACTGGAGCGACACTGTTTGACACTAGTGACACTGTTTGACACTGTTTGATAAATATTTGTTTGCCAATTAAGGAAGTTAAAAAGTAGGACAAACATTTTGGGACTTCCATTTCGGGAAAGTAGGACAAACATTGAGGGACGGAGGGAGTATTTGCTTTCCTGTATAGCCGAGACTCGAGACTGGACTTATTTTTATTGTTACATTTTCTCTACAGCTGCAAAGAGCCTATTGAACCACTAACACTTGAAGAATTAGCTGATCGATGTCACGCCCATGAAGATGTATGTGCCATTTCTCCTTACCATCTTTTTATGTTAATGCCCAACATAAGGATCTAATTACTGGTCATCAACTTCTTACTTATGGGTTTTCAGATTGAAATGATCTATAAGATTATACAACACATGGCAGCAAATGACAGAGCACTGATTGCCGAAGGCAGCTGCGGTTCACCTCGTAGCATTAAAGTGTTTCTGGGCGAATGTAACGTTGACGACTTGTATGCCTAGTTAGTATTTATTACAACATAAAAACATTTAGCCTTGTATGCTAGCCACTAAGGTTTTGTCAAAGAAATAAATACTCTCTTCGTCCCGAAATAAACTTCCTGTTATCTATGCAAGCCACATTCTTCTCCTTCTGGGTTATGGCTCTTATTTTCTTTCATTATTATCCAAATATCAACCATATATCTTTCTTTTGAACCACTTTCTTAAGAAGCTCGTCAAACATAATTAATAATTATATTTCTGGACTGTGGGAGCATAACATAAATGCTCTTAGATAGGACTAAACTGGACCCTCTATACCGAACTACCGAAGGACCACTTCATTCTTTTATTCCCAGACAGGATAACTAACTTGCAATTTTACTACAATCGGTTAATTAAAAGCTTCATTTAGATTACATTTTTACTCCAATTCTGCATATTACCTTGCTTGTTCCAGAACGGAGTCCAGGCACTTTAGATAGGTATAATTGTGACTATATTTTAATAGTAACACTCTTATGGATATTAATTAATTACAACTTAATAAACATCTTACTTCTTTCTCATAATCTACCAATCCATAATGTCTAGGCATGAATCGAGACATAGTAACAACATTGAGATGTTTTGAATTATGTTTAAGTTTCACACAGACATGTAAATGTTTTGATTATGCTTCTTTTCTCATTCCTTCAATCATTCGGAAACGGAGGATTTATCCTTTTTTCTTCATATGGCTATAGTGGAGTTCTGAAATTATTTGAATTTATAAATAGTTTTAGGCGGACTCACAAACAACGCATAGCTTACAATTACAAACATAATGCCATTAAGCTGGTCTAATTACTTAGGATAGACCACAAGCACTTTTGAATTTATACAACTTAGTTGCAAATTTCACGAGTAATCCCGAGGCGAGAGTTGACGGTGTCAAAGAAAACCCTTAGGTTCTGCTGCTGCAGATTGGCGATCACGTTCAGCACAGAGTTCACATTGTCCGGAGCTGCTGCCATAGCCAAGCAAGCCAAGTTCCCATAGCTACTGTGAATCAATGTATTCTCCATTGGTAACTTCAAATCCATTCCTTCAAAGTGGAAGGTAACGGTAGGTGCCGTTGACTCTTGCGTCACTGCAAAGCATGTGTCGAACGCGCCCAATGCGCTGAATGGCCCCGCCACTTGCTTCTTGTATGCGTCCCGAATTGCTGCGTAAGCCGGTTCAACGAACCGGCTTATGACGGTCCCGGAGTCGATGATGGTGCCCGACCCGGTGCTCGGGTTGAAGCTAAGGTGCTCTGCAGCAATGGGTACCCGGAGTCTGCCCACACTTACCCCGGTCAGGTTCACGTAATACAACGAAGGGCGGTGCGGGTTCCTGAGCAGGGGAGTTGTTTTTATTGTCTTCGGTTGACCAACTGGCCCGAGCCGGAGCGAACCGGAGAAGTAGTAGGATTTGAAACTGGGTAAACAGTAAGAGAATACGCCCGAATAAAGCGCCCCCGCTTGCGAGAGCAAAGACATGGAGCCCCGACCCAAGCCCAACAACCCTTGGGTCGGGATATTCGGGCCTGAAACGGCGTTGATGCATCCCAAAGCATAGTTCGGGATGACATCCTGCGCCAATCCAAGAGCATCCCGATACAATGTGGCGGAGAACGATGAATCTCCGCCATATGATTGGTTAAAATTACAAACTCCGGAACCGTCAGCCGGGCACGAAAGCCCGCGGACCATAGTGCATTCAAGCACGGAGCACCCGACAGGCCCGAAAGTCGCAGACGCATTGGGCGCAAAGACGGTGGAAGAGGAGCAACCGACGCAACCGCTGCACGGGACCCACGCATTGTCACTGCTGGTATCCAAGACCATAAACATGGTCTGGCCCGGAGTCCCAATCTTGGCCCGAACGACATAGTTACCGACGTTGAAGATATTCTGGGCCGAAGCAACGGGGACGTTGGCACCGGGCTTTCGGGCCGTGAGGCTCGACAAGTAGGAGAGCCTCTGAGGATCCTTGACTGCCATGTTCATGACAGTGTTGACCCATGAAGAAGAAGAGTCTGGGTTGTGGATAGGCGAGCATTTGCCATAGATGGGGATAACAGAGAGGTCAGAGGTGAGTTTGCTGGAATCACAGAATTGAGAGGCTAAGGATTTGTAGTTTGAAAGAAGAAAGAGGAGAAATGACAGAATGAGTAATGCCGGCTGCATGGTGCGGCGTTGATGGGGAGGAAGAGACTAAGCTAAGTATTTCAGTTTCAGGCAGCTAGGGGTTGACTTACCCAAAACAATGCAAACTTAGATTTAGAAAGTGTTAAGATTATTATGGTATATATATAGGATGGAATTACATCATATGGCTTCCTAAGAGCATCTCCAATGCTAAAATGTGCACGGTGCACATCATGTGACGGACCTAGGCATCGGAGGTCAGTGTATGCACATAAAATACGAAAAATTCTTGAAATAGAACTAAAAAACTTCAACAAATTACAAAATATAAGTGCCATATTTTTATTCTCTAAATAAACTTCAATTTCAACATATTTTTATTCTCTAATTACTGCAAATTTTGAAAAATACTACCATGTTTAAAATCTAGTACTGCCAAAACATGAGATTAATTGCTCATATTTAGGGAATAAATATATAACAATAATATTTTAGCATACACAAACATTTTTACTCCAATTTAGGACATTTTCTCTATAGAATAACAAGTAATAATAAGTTATATGAGATTATTATTACAATAACAAAGATTAGATAAGATATAAATATATGTATATACTTTCACCGTCCCAAATTGAATTTCAATTTGTGATTTTTAAGACTGGTCGGTGATAAAGTTAAACAATCCATGTGGATAATTATGTAATTGTATAACTAAAATAACATATTTAGAAAATACATTGAAATTCTCTAAAGTCACAAAATTTAAATTGAAATAGGCCGTATATATTATAGAAAGTTGATTCGTTGAATAAGCAAATAAAATAAAAACTATAATGACCAAGAAATATTGACTTTACAAATCAATATTTGGGAGGCAACAAATAGTGAACTACACTCCATGATTTACACATTAACAAATTGAAGTGTTAGATAATAGGAAGTACAATTTAATGTAAGTAATACTCGCATCGTAATAATAATAATAGTAAGCCTATCTTTAACATTGTACGGAGTGATCTCTTTAATTAATGAAGCATGTCTTTAAATTGTTTAAAACACATAATGTGGGAATTACGGTGTAGCATTAACGGATCATGCATTCATGCACTTCAAAAATATAAAAATAAGGTGCAGCCTTCATGTGCTTCAAACCCTAGACGTGAAGCCTTAAACAGGCTTCTATACCAATAGTATTACCATATAGGCTAACAGCAATTATTGAGGTGAAGCATGTGCTTACCCTGGTTAACATGTAGATCCGTCTCTGTGCACATGTGACATGCGTGATAGCCACATAAATATTACCCGTAGCAAATAAATTATCTCTCTCCTTATTTGAATGATTTCATACAATTTTGGTAAGTTTTTCTCTGCAATGTCAACTGCAATGTCAATATCTAGACGGTCTCCTTGACATTGTGGAGAAAAACTTACTAAAACTGTATAAAATCATTTAAATAAGGAGAGAAAAATTCATTTACTATTATTTATGTGGCTATCTCTTATATCACGTGTGCACCGTGCACATTATACCATTGGAGATGTTCTAATATCACCATGGAACCTTTTTCATTCTATACCTTATTATGACAATGTAACACACTGGATTTTAAGTGAAATGCTCAAATGACCAATAATATGCCGATATCAGACATATTATTGACATGTAATTCTCTTTTTGCCGGATTTTCTAGTCTCTTGTAATATCTATTTAGTGTTAAATGAAAACATCTTGATTGAGATAAATTTTGTCACCCCAATAACCTTTTGGGATTTAGGCTTGGATGTTGTTGTTGTTGTCACAATGATATCATTGGACCATAATGTGCTTGACATGTGTAATTACTCTTCTTTATAGAAGTAACTTATGTAATCTGTTCATATTCATACTTACTTCATACGTAGTACTCCGTAGTGACTTTTTTTTCAAATCAAATAGGAAGTATGAATTATATTTTTCCTTATTGCTTTGTTCTCCTTATTATTATGAAGTTGATATTTTCTATTGAATATGAAAACGAATAAATCAAATTATTTCAAATTTGTGCATTCAGAATACTTTTTAGACTGTTAGAATTCTATATAATCTTTTCCATCAGATATAAAACCTATATTTTAATGAATTTTACTTCATGTACAGGCTCGGTTACAAGACGACTTACACGCTCAAGTGTAACTAGCCGTGCACAAACAATTCATTTTTGAGGTCACATACACTTTCTTTTACTAAAACTCAAGTGTAATTGTCTGTCCATACACAATTGCGTGTAAGCGGACGTGTAATCGGGCGTGTACACAATGGAAAATTCAACTTTAATAGATTATAATAATAAATTCAACTTTAATACCGAGTATATAATAATATGTGAGAACTCTGGTACCCTTTTAAAAAATGGGGTACCGTATCTACCATTCATTTGATTGGACCACATCGGCTTGTCATTTTTAATTTAGATTTAAATAATTCAACTGCAACATTCTCATTGTTCTATGTGGACAAAGATATGGTACCTTATATGTACCGGTATTAGTATTAGGCTCTCATACCCAAAATACGGAAAATTTGATCAAATGCGAGAACCTAAAAGCTCATATGCAACAAAAATGGGCAGAGAGTAAAATCCAATAAAAAAGTCACATGTATTTGAATCACGCCAATAGGCTTCTCTGTTCACGCAATCCCATACATTCACGGGTGTGAAGGCAATGGATGCAGCCTGCAAGTTGTTCTTTGGCAACAAGCCAAAGTTAAATATAAGGCCTGTCACGGGTTGCAATACTTTAGGATGATGAAACACAACAAAAAATCCACAAAAAAATAAATAAATAAATAAATAAATAAATCCACAGGTGAGAGTGATCCATCTTCCAAAAAGGTTCAATCCAGTGCACCACACTCTGATCCGACAAGACATTTTGGAGATTGTAAGTCATGGTGACTCAATCAGCCCAATTCATAGTAGACCTTATCCGTACACTCCATGAGTTGAGTTCGCATACAACAACAACTGTAACCTTATCCGTACACACCATAGGTTCAGTCCGCATACAACAACT